CCGACATGGGCATGCGGTGGGCACGGAAGGCGCATGCGGACGCGGCCACTGGGGCCTTCATTGAAGCTCCTTATGGGGCCACGAGCCGTGTGAAGGGTGTGCCGAAATGGACGTGCGGCGTGCGGGGGAACCGCACGTGGACCCTGTCATTGGGGCCTTCGGTGGAGCTCCCTATGGGGCCACGAAGCGTGTGAGGGGTGTGCCGAAATTGGCATGCGGTGGGCGGGGAAGGCGCATGCGGACGCGGCCACTGGGTCCTTCGGTGGAGCTCCCTATGGGGCCACGAATCGTGTGAGGGGTGTGCCGACATGGGCATGCGGTGAGCGGGCTGGGGCCTTCGGTGGAGCTCCCTACGTGGCCACGAACCGTGTGAAGGGTGTGCCAGAATGGAGATGCGGTGGGCGGGGAGGGCGCATGCGGACGCGGCCACTAGGGCCTTTGACGGAGCTCCCTGTGGGGCGACGGACCGTGTGAGGAGTGATGGTAATGATGACGGCGATGATGATGATGATTCCGATGATGGTGATGATGGCGGTCGTGATGATTATGGCGATGGTGACGGTGATGACGCTGATGATGAAGATGATGATGATGATGATGATGATGACGATGATGATGATGGGAGGAGGGAGGAAAGGGGAGGAAAAGAGGAGAGGAGAGGAGACGAGAGGAGAAGAACGCGGGGAACGTCTTCTCTTCCAAACGAAGACCCGACACCACAGGATGGTTGGGAAAAACCGCCGGCTTTCGAACATACTTTGCAAAACAATTCAAACGGAGTTCACACGCGCGCGTCGTCGCGCGCGCATGCCGGAACCCTTCAAGAACCCACAGTTTCATACAAATATTGAAACCGAGTGTCCAAAAACATATTTGCGCGCGCGCTCTGACAATTCGTAAAACCAATCGGTCTTTCAACTTTGCACACCGTGCCACCAAACGGGCTTCTCGCGCGCATGTCGAAATCGTTCGAACGCCCCTGCGCGCGTGCTGTCGTAAGAACCATCCGCAACATACGGGACGAAGTGCACGCGCGCACGTGCCGAAATCAATCAACAATCTTCGGTTTCGTAGGAATTTCAAAACCATGTGTCCAAATAGCGTATAAACCACATGGCTTCGCAACATCAGTTTTCCGCCAAACGGCCCAACAGGCCCGCCAAACGGGCCTCTCGCGCCGCATGCCGAAATCATTCGCACGCCCTTGCGCGCGTGCTGGGGGGACACTGTCCGTGTCAATTAATACCATGCGGGCCACTCTCGCGCATCGGCCGCGTGCGCATGTCGAACTCTTTCTAAAACCTTTAAACCTTCATTACCAACGTGAAAACGCCGTCATCGTCGTCGGTGTGATAAGCATCGGCGCCGTCATTGGCCTTCCAGCCGTCATCGCCACCTTCGTCACCATCGCTACTCTGATAATCGTGTCTACCGTTGTCGGCGTCGCCATGATACCGCGCCCGTCCACGTCACCGACTCGCACGAAAGTGCCTGGTGGGAAGTGCCACGCGGTCAGCGCCACCACGGCCGCGTCGGTCGCGCCAAATTAGCTGGCCGCTGTGCGCGCGAGCATGCGCGGACTAGCGCGGCCGCAGAGATGCACCAACCAACGCCAAGCACTCATCGCAATCGCCGCCGCATGGGTTTTGCAAACCAAGTTGCGGGCGGGTGGGTGGGATGTTTTCCAAATCGTGGGAGGTGGTCAAGCGCGTTGCGGGGTAGTCAATTCTCCTCTCTTAGAAGAATATGGATTCTACCACCATCACCCCCCTGAGGTTACCCGTTACGCGGTTCGATTGGAAACTCAAATATGGTCGTGACACTTCGTTTATTCTCCTTGTAAGTTCATGCCATCTCAGGCCAGCCCGTATGGACCCCCCGCCATCCTTTGCAAAAACTGGTATGCGCGCGCACTCGTTTATCAAAACCATAAATTGGCAAACATCCCTTGCAACAGATCATACGAAGTGCACACGCGCGCAATGTCGCGCGCGCGTGCCGAAATCCTTCAAACATTACCGGTTTCGTAAAAGATTTCGGTATCGAGTGTCCACCACAAAAATAAAATACACAGGGTTTCGCAACACAGACTTTCAAAGAAAGCGTGCGCGCGTGCTCTTGCGAACCCTTGCAACAAACCAACGTTTTTTTTTTTTTTTTTTTTTTTTTTTTTTTTGTTTTTTTTTTTTTTTTTTTTTTTTTTTTTTTTTTTTTTTTTTTTTTTTTTTTTTTTTTTTTTTTTTTTTTTTTTTTTTTTTTTTTTTTTTTAAAAAAAAAAAATAAAAATAAATATATATATATAAATGATTATATATAATATATATAAACAACATTTTCAGAACATACTGCCTAACGGGCTTCGCGCGCGCATGTCGAAACCGTGCGAACGCCCCTGCGCGCGTGCCGTCGCGAGAATCCTTTGCAACGGACGGGGCGAAGTGCACGCGCCCGCGTCGTCGCGCGCATGCCGAAATCCTTCCAAAACCTTTGGTTTCGGAAATATTTCAAATCGAGTATCAAACAAACATAAAACAAACACAGGGGTTCGCAGCAGGGATTTTCAACAAAAGCGTGCGCGCGCGCTTTTGCGAATTCTCAAAAAAAAACGCTCATTTTCCAACATTTTCACAACATGCTACCAAGCGGGCTTCGCGCACGCGCATGTCGAAATCGTTCGAACGTCCTTGCGCGCGTGCTGGGGTGGCACGGTCCATGTCAAAAAATACCATGCGAGCCACTCCCGCGCGTCTGCCGCGCGCGCATTTCGAATTCCTCCCAAAACTTTCATCGCCGACGCGAAGGCACCGTCATCGTCGTCGGCGTGATCAGCATCGGCGCCGTCACTGGCTGCCCCGTCGTCGCTGTAAGCATCGTCGCCAGCATCGCTACTATCATCATCGTGTCTACCGTTGTCGACGTCGCCGTGATACCGAGCCCGCCCAAGTCGCCGACTCGCACTGAAGTGCCCGCTGGGATGTGCCGAGCGGTCAGCGCCACCGCGTTCGCGTCGGTCGCGCCAAACTAGCTGGCCGCTGCGCGCGCGAGCATGCGCGGGCTAGCGCGGCCGCAGAGATGCGCCAGCCAACACCCAGCACTCATCGCAATCGCTTCCGCATGGGGTTTGCAAACCAAGTTGCGGGCGGGTGGGTTTGATGTTTGCGCGAGCAGTGGAGTGGACAACTTCAAGTTGAGGGTTGGTGAGTTGCACCGCGTAGATTGCGCCGCACTTGTTGCACCACATTTAGTTCCTGTGTGAACAGAGAATCAACTCCACCACCCTCCCGAGGCGGGACTTATCGGCACCCCCTGGGGATGTGCAATTTACATTGAATTCTGCCCCATCGTCCATCCTAAATATGAATTCGCACCATCCCAGGGTGGCCGGTATCCCCCCTCATCCTCTGCAACAAATTACGATGCACGCGCACTCGTTTATGAAAAGGTATCCGTTTTCATGAATCCCTTGCGAAAAACGGGACGAAGTGCACACGGGCGCGTCGTCGCGCGCGAGTGCTGGAATCCTTCAAAAACCGCTGTTTTCGTAAGGATTTCAAACTCGAGTGTCCAAAACAACATGTAAAGACAGAGGGTTTCGCAGAACGGATGTTCAAGAAAAGCTCGCGCGCGCGCTCTTGCGAAATCGTAAACATACTGCCACAAGGGCTTCGCGCGCGCATGTCGAGATCGTTCGAACGCCCTTGCGCGCGTGCTGTCGCGAGAGACCTTTTCAAACAACGGGACGAAGAACACGCGCGCATCGTCGCGATCGCATGTCGGAGTGCAACGTCTTGAGGAAACCAAAGATGGTTCAACATGTTCATGGGATTCTACCAAACGAGCCTCTCGCGCCGCATGCCGAAATCATTCGCACGCCCTTGCGCGCGTGCTGGGGGGACACTGTCCGTGTCAAATAATACCATGCTGGCCGCTCTCGCGCGTGGGCCGCGCGCGCATGTCGAACTCTTCCCAAAACCTTCATCACCGACGCGAGGACGCAGTCATCGTCGTCGGCGTGATCCGCATCGGCGCCGTCACCGACCGCGCCGCCGTCGTTGTTAACATCGTCACCAACACCGCTACTATCATCATCGTGTCTACCGTTGTCGATGTTGCCATGGTACCGCGCCCGCCCAAGTCACGAGAGGCCCGGTGGGATGTGCCCAGCGGTCGGCGCCACCGCGGCCGCGTCGGTCGCGTCAAAGTAGGTGGCCGCTGCGCGCGCGTGCTTGGGTTGGCGCGGCCGTATATATGCACCGGCCAACGCCAAGCACTCATCGCACTCGCCGCCGTATGGGTTTCGCAAACTAAATTGCGGGTGGGGTGGAATTTGCAAGAGCATGGGATGTGCCAACTCGTTTGCCAAAATCAATTGCACCATAAACATTGCATCGCATATATTGCACCACGTGGATGACACAACATGGATCGCACCACATCTGTTGCACCAGTTTGTTTTGCACCACGCAGTTTGCACCACATGGATAGCTTCACGCAGAGTGCACAAAATAGACTGTCAGAAACACACTGCTCTTGGGGTCCATGCTGGCTCGCATTAGGTATGTCGAACCGATACTGAAAAGAGAGAGAGAGAGAGAGAGAGAGAGAGAGAGAGAGCGACAGAAAGAGAGAGAGAGAGAGAGAGAGAGAGATAAAGAGAAAGGGAGAGAAAGAGAGAGAGAGAGAGAGAGAATGCGGGGGCCTCTCAAACGAATCCCAGGGAACTCTTTTTTCTGCAAAAAAACCTGGGCCAACTTTCTGGAAGTTTTCGTAAAAACGAACCAATGACCCTCAATACGACAAAAGCTGTGCAGCGGCAGGACGCGTCTGCCACGGGACACCTCCTGGAGGTGGCGTACATGCCGAGGGTGTCGTCAAAACTCGCACGCCTGAAACGACCCAGACATGGCTGGGTGTGAGAAGAGAGGAAGAAAGAGGGAGGGTAAGAATGAGGAGCCCTAGCCGAACCCTGCCCCTGAAACGCCCGGGTGGGAGCCGAGCTCCTGGCTCTGGCCGTCCGCAACCGCCGCGCGCCGCGCGTCGCCGGGTGCCAGTGGCCGGGCGCCAGCGGCCGCAGCGGCCTGCCCGACCCGCCACGGCCCCAGACGCCCAGCGCCTCGCGCCATGCGAGGCGGGAACTCTCCGTCGCGCTCGGCCCCACGGCTACGCAGTCGACCACGGACCCCTAGTTGCCCATCGGCCCTTGTGGCGGTCTTCGGCGGTCCTCTGGCGGTCTTCGACGGTACAAGGCGGTCTTCTGGCGGTCTTCGGCGGTCTTCTGGCGGTCTGCTGTTCGGTGTTCTGGGGCGGCTTCTGGCGGTCTTCGGCGCGAGAGCTGGGCTGCGTAGCGTTCCACGAGCGGCCCATGATGGAACACCCAGGCGCGGGGGTCGTCTTCGGGCCCCCGGGGTCGTTCACAGGGCAGCCGGGGGGGAGACGCCGTCCCTGGGGAGCGGGTCGTGGCTTCCTGGAGGCCCCGCGCCGAACGAAAATCAGGGCATGGGGCATCGGGGCTCGTCGCCACCGTGGGGGAGGGCCCATCGCATCGGCGATCTCTCGAGAGGTGCGTCGGAGCCGATGGGTCTCCCTCCACACGGGGGGGGGGGTGAATCAAGGAAGCGCCAACACGGATCAAAATTCGCGGGTTGGCGGCAAGTCCTGTTTCCGTGCGGAATCGGCGCGCTCCGTCGCCGAGTCGGGCGGCACCGGCACCGTGTTCCGGGGGGTATTTGCCTTCCCCGACCCGTGGGTTCTTGTGATCCATGCTGGCTTGCGCCCGGGTGAGGACCGCACCCCGCCCCAGTTGTGGCCGACCTGCCTGAGCGTCTCCCTCGTCGTCCCACGCGCCCTTGAGCATGCTGTCAAAACCTGGGGGAGGGTCGCCAACTGTATAGAACTGCGCCGAGGCTGGCCACGCCATCCCCCGTGGGGCCCACAGGAGCTGCCTGGCCAGGGTCGGCCTACGTGCGGCGGGCTCGCTGCGTGGCAACTTGCGCGCTGCTGTCTGGCACCGCGTGGATCTTTCAACCCTGAACGATCGCGGCTAGACAGCGCGGATCGTTCGCGAACTTTCCTATACGAAGAAAAAGCGGTACGAACATAAACCTTGGGGCATTTCCCAGATCGGCGTTGGACCGCCCTCCCTGGCACGCGGAACGCGCCATAGGCGGCGCTGGAGGCGCCGCCAGTGGGGCCCAGCGCCGATCCCAGAACAACGAGCGGGCCTAAGATACTTGATGTTGAAATTTCCCTAAACAGCGAATGCGATGAAAATCCTGTTTGCATGATAAGAGCCGGTTCCTCTGCTGGAGACGTGCGCTATCGGCACGCCGTGCTGTGCCGCGTTCGCGTGCCGCGCAATGCCCGCCCGCGTTCTAGAGTGCGAGCAGACATGTGCCGCCCCAGTGCCGTGGCGGTGCCCGTGTGGCGCGCCGTGCCCGCGCTCGAGCATGCGAGAGCTGTCCCGCCCGCGTGCCCTGCCCGCGCTTTGAGATGGGACAAGCGTGCCGCCCACGTGCCGTGCCCGTGCCCGCGTGCCGTGCCCGCGTGCCGTGCCGTGCGCGCGCACTTTGATGTTGGCACGCCACGCGTCTTCTCATGCAACGCTGCTGTTTAGGGCCCCATGTGACGGTCTAGTGCTTTTTCTCCTTCGACTGCCGCAGTTGTGCAGTTGGCTTCCCCCGAAGGCCACTCATGGCCGCTGACAGCATCCAGCCGTCGGCGTCCCCGCGCACACGCGCGGGCGGTTGCCGCCGCACGGCTGGCTCGCTGGCCTGTCCTAGCACGGCCAACTCCAGCGCGTTTGAGCCCCAGAGGCTTCGGGTCGTCATCGGCGCCGCTGTCGTAGAAGAACTCCAGACCTCCGACGAGTTGTTTTTTTTTGGGGGGGGGGGCGGCGTCTCCTCTTTTGCGATCTCCGAGGGCCGCTTTCGGGCACTGGGACCATCGAACATGGATCAGGGAGGTTGAACTACCCAAAGGGAAGGAGTCGGGAGCTCTGAGGCCGCGGATGCAAACGTGAGCGTTTATGTATTCGGCGTTTCGGCATTGGGCGGGATGGGGGGGGCTCTAGACCTCTCTTTTCTGCGACTGTTTGCAAGAGTGCTGCCTCTGGGGGAGACTCCACCCGCCCCAAACAGGCGCCAAAAACGGCCGAGATCTACTCCATGGGGGGGGGAGAGGGGGGTGCGAGGGCTCGCGCCGATCCTCAAAGCAATGAATAAAAAACGATCACCAGATCGGAGGATGTCTGGGGCCCTCTGCTACGATGCCGCAATTGTGTCGTCGCACAAGCCCCCCTCGGCTACGCGCAGGAGCGACCCTGGGCAAAGGTGACCTTTGGTGCGCGGCTCTTTGGGGGCCGCGGGGGGGCCACACACGAGCGCGCAAGACGCTACTACTACCGCATCGCGTTCGGCAATCGGGGGACCCCAATGGGCCCGCACCAAAGGTCACTCCCGCGAAGGGTCACTCTTACGTCTAGTCGACCCTGGGGATTTCGACCACTTCCATCCACAAGGCCGGCTTTTCATCCTGAGCCGTTTTTGGACGGTTCCAAGGCCGTGAAGCGGCCTCCAGCAGCCAGAAAAGTCACCAACAAGCCATCGCGTGTTTCTTCTTTGCGTCGCCAGGGCCCAGGGGAAAGGGCCAGAGGCGGAAGATGGGGATGAGGAGGACCCTTCGGCTACACGCGAGAGTGACCCGAGGCAAGAATGACCTTCGGTCCGCGGCTAAAAGGGGGGCGCGGGGTGGCCAGACCTGGGCGCGCAAGCCGCTGCTACCGCTTCGCGTTCGGCGATTGGGGGGGACCCCACTGGGCCCGCATCAGAGGCCGTTCCGGCGAAAAGTCACTCGGGCGTTTGGTCGAGCCCTTCGGACCCGGGCGACGCAGCAAACTCCCTGCGGGCGGCGGCTGCCTCGGCTTCGGGCCCTGGGGGTCTCGCGGCCGTGCAGCCCAGAAGGTGGGGCCGGGAGTTCTGGGCGCGGCTCCTCACGACGTCGTGCCGTCTTGTCACAGCGTCGGACCTCGGGGATCATGGAGATGATGGTCGGCGGCGAGCCCGGGGGGAAATGCGAAGGAGAAGGCCTTCACAGAGGGCTAGGAAGTCCCCCGGCCTTCTGAGAAGTTTTCTACGCCTTCCCCGGAGACCCAGGAAACCTCTCAGAAGGCGGGAGGGTTTCTGAGAAGTCCCGCCGCCTTCAGAGAAGGTCTTCTCCTTCTGACTTCCCCGCCTCGCTCGCCGCCGAGAGGAGCTGGGGGTCGAATGGGGCCCACGGGTGGAAACCATCGCGACGTCCGAGAGCGGGGGCATCCGCCGCTCTCTCGCTCCTCTCCCTGGCTCTCGCTGGGCCCCCCTCTTCTGCTCCCCTCGGCTACGTGCAAGAGTGACCCTGGGAAAGAATGACCTTTGGTGCGCGGATTTCAGGGGGCCGCGGGGCGACCAAACATAAGCGCACAAGACGCTACTGTCGCAGCGCGTTCGGCGATCGGGGGACCCCAAATTGGCCGGCACCAAAGGTCACTCCGGCGAAGGGTCACTCTTGCGCCTAGTCGAGGTCCTCATCGGTGCGTACCCAAGCTTACGGCGCCGATTTTTGCTTTTTTGCATGAAGAAATAACAACGTGGGCCCCTGGAGGCCTCGACCCTTCCCCAGGACCGGCTGTGCGCCCCAGAAGCAGATTCTTTGGCGGCCCTGGGGCTCGGCGAGGGCACCTGGGGCGCAGGAAGCCTTGCGCCAGAGCGCCATTCCTGAGCTCGGGGTAAATTATGAGGAAGTATCGAGCGGGAGCCGCTGTCGTTGTAGCCGAGCCTCCAAGGGCACACATTTACACTTAAGCCTACGCTCGAGCGGGAGCCTCGTTTTCAGAGGAATTGCAGCCGTCGTCGAGGCGAAAGCGCGCGGAACCGTTTCCAGAGATCAACAATATTCTCTAGACATGCGTACTCAACAACAACAACAACAACAATCATGACGCGAGGGGGTGTGCTCGACCCCCCTAGATTTGCGCAGGGACGCGTTCGGGCCAGAACCCAGACCCCCTCGCTTTGTGACAAAAATCACGACGGAAAGTCGTTCGCTATTTTCGGCCTACGGGGGCCCTCAATTACCGGGGCTCGGGACCGTCAAAAACGATTCGGGGCGAAGAACCGGCCCTAGGAAGGTGGTCCAGACCTCTGGGGCCCACGCATCGACAAACTTAGAGCAGCCAGATGTCTGGGGTCGAAGGGGGATCCAGCCGCCCAGACACCCGATGTCGTGTATTTCAATATGGGGCCCCCCCAGAAGCCCCAACCCTCTCCCCAGCCCGGGCATCGTCCGTCGTGCTTTTTCCCCGGGGGGGGGGTCACAGCGTGTCTTCCCCAGGATCTTCTCGACCCCTTCTGCGGGACGCATTTCACCCTGGGCCCGTTCTTGGCGGTCCTGGGGCCCCGTGGGGGCACCCGGAGGCCGCAACATCTGCTGAACCCGTCCGTCGTGGAGGAGGAGGAGGAGGAGGAGGAGGAGGAGGAGGAGGAGGAGGAGGAGGAGGAGGAGGAGGAGGAGGATCTCTGCCTCGGCGGGAGGACGTCCGGTCGGCGGCCCCAGGCCTCGGAGAGAGCGGCCTCCCCTGGGGCCGAAGAGCAGCCTGACACCTCCGCCTCGGGTCGCTCTTCCTGACCTCGTTTTCGCTCTTGGGTTGTGGTGCATTTTTGCGTAGCTATGTGCATGTATATGCGGACTTTTCGTGAAGCATTCTCTTGGCGTCGGACGTCCGGGCGCGGCGACGAGGGGCCCTCTCGGGAGGCGGAGCAGCACGGCAGAGTGCTGGCCAGCACGGAGCCCCGAGCGGGGAGCTCCCTTCGCTGTGGGGGTGGACGCTGTGCGGGGTGAGCCGTGTGGCGTGAGCTGTGGTTCGGCGGCCAGCAGGGGGGGGGGAGCGAGGCAACTCGTGAAACGCAGTCGAGAAATCGTCTCGAGACTGTATCTTTCGACTCCTTTTAAGATGGCCTCCCCTGGAGGGACATGCCCGACTGAAGCCTAGATTTTGGGTCGGGGAGCGCGGTCGCGGCCGAGGCCGGCTCGCCGTGGCCAGGGAGCGCCCCTCCGCTCCCGAGGCAGCGCGCCTCGTTGTGTAGCACCAAGGGCGGTGCACACCACGGCTCGGCGGCGGGCGTGGAGGGGAAAAGTTGAAAGGGGCTGGCCTTTTCGGAAGGCTCGGAAGTCCCCCGGCCTTCCGAGAAGTTATCGGAGCCGCCCCCGAAGACTCAGCACACTCCTCAGAAGGCGCGAGGGCCTCCGAGAAGTCGCGCCGCCTTCGAAGAGGGCCTTCTCCTTCTCGCTCTCCCGCCTCGACCGCAGCCGAATGGTGGGTGCAAGCCTCTGTGGTGTGAGCTATTGTTGTGTAAGGTATGTTGTGCACGCTATGCTGTGTGAACTGTGCAGTGCAAGCTATACAATTTCATACATGTTGCGTGAGCTATGCGATGCAGGTTATGTGGTGTGAGCTGTGGCGTGCATCCGCCCTGGGCTCATGGCGCCCACGAGCACCCGTGAGCCGCCCACGGGCGCCACCCAATTACCCAGTAAGACAAGTACACATCTCTAAATGCAAATACTGTTTGGGAAATAACGGCACCCGTGCGACAGGATGAGCAGGGGAGACGAGGGAGAGGAGGGATGGAGGGAGGGAGGGAGGGAGGGGAGGGGAGGGGAGGAGGAGGAAGGGAGGGAGGGCGGGCGGGCGGGCGGCGGCGGCGGGCGGGCGGGCGGAGGAGGAGGAGAGGAGGAGGGAGGAGGAGGAGGAGGGGATGATGATGATGATGATGATGATGATGATGATGATGATGATGATGATGATGATGATGATATGATGATGATGATGATGATGATGATGATGATGATGAGATGATGATGATGATGATGATGAGATGAGGATGAGATGAGGATGAGGATGAGGAGGAGGAGGAGGAGGAGGAGGGAGGAGGAGGAGGAGAGGAGGAGGAGGCGGAGGAGGAGGAGCGGAGGAGGAGGAGGAGGAGGAGGAGAGGAGAAGAGGGGGAGGAGGAGGAGGATGAGGGAGGAGGAGGGAGGAAGGGGGAGAGAGGAAGAGCGATACCCCAACGACCGCCTCTGACCTCACCGGAGACCACTTCCCTCCAAAACGACAGAGCGCCCGCCGCCGCTTCACCCGCGCCCGCGGGCCGAGCCCCCAACGGCGCCCGCGGGCAACCGCGGACCTCCCCCGCGGCCCGGACGCGCGTGGCCCCGCCGCTCCGCGGCGCGCGCCCGCGCGGCGCGGTCAGTGGCCCCCCCCCCCGTCTGAGACTGAAGGCGCCCAGCGGACACACAGATAGATAGAAGCGAGTTCCACGACGCCTCGTACTTCTCGATCTTTCCTGGAATTTCGCCTTCTCTCCACTTCCCGTGTCTCCCCATACTCTCAAGGGCATCCACGTTTATTTGTGTCAGTGTGTGTGTGTGTGTGTGTGTGTGTGTGTGTGTGTGTGTGTGTTTCTCTCCTCCTGAGAGATCTCCGGGTCCCCGACGGCAGGCTTTTTTTCAATCCTTTTCCTAGATTTCGTCCTCGGGGGCCCCTTGTTCGGCCCCAAGGGGCCATCAAGCAGGGATCCCACGGAGCGAAGAGTTGCCCCTGGGGGCAAGGGCGGGGACCTCCGTTGCCGTGTACCGAACTGATCACATCGTCAGATGTCTGGGTCTTCGCGCCGATGTTTTTTGTTTGCGACAGGCGATTCTGACTCGTTTCGGGCCCCGGGGCCTTCACGGACCAGTCTGGATCGAAAGATGCAGCGGAAAGGTGGGGTCCAGGGAGCTGGTCGTGTCGGGCGGG